TAGAGGTGTGTAGACAGTTAACTTTGTTGGTGTTTTCCTTATTTAGGTTATTAGGATATGAGTGAAAGTTTCCAAACAATATTGAATTTTTTATTGTACATATACATTGTGTTTTATAGCATTAATTACAATTAATGTGATTAATTCATCTTTACCTATTTCTTGAATTCTGGTGGCCTACTGGGCAAGGAGTTGTGCTGTCAACCCAAACGCAGGCAGTTCAAGTCTGCCAGCTGCTCCAAGGGAGAAAGATGAGGCAATACTCTTCTGTGCAATTTATTGTCTCTGAAAACCCTCTGGAGGGTCACCTATGAGTCAGTTCAGTCTTGACAGCAATGAGAGAGTTTGAGATTTATTTATTACTTTTTACTCCCCTTTGAGCCGTATTCAACTCAACAGTACCTAACAACGACAACCCTCTCTTCTCATCCCTGGTAAATATAGGGATGCTTTATTGACAGAAATGTGTGATTTACAACTTGGTAGACTGAAAAAAACGGTGACAGATTGAGATGGAAAATAGAAGATCATCACAAATTTAATTAGATGGTACTTTTCCTTCATTCTTTTTGAAAATATTTTTTAAATTTTGTTATTTTCATGAAAGTTTACAGAAAAGTTAGATTTTTATTCATTCAGTGTTGCACATTTTTACCCCCATCATTCCCTCCCTTCCCCCTCCTCCAGTTCACTTTTTAAAAAAAAATTCATTTATTGTTGCACAATTACCTCCCTCCCTCCACCCCCAGTTCTCTTTGCAATGTACCTCTTCTTCTGGGCTGTTGTCATACATACAATGCCTAATTATATATTCCTTTTAAACAGTTCTTTCCTTCATCTTTTCCAGTGAAATGTTCATTATCTTTTCCCATTCTCTCCCCAACTCCCCCATGTCAGTCCTACTTTAAAACAGTGGCGCTATGCAGTATTTGTCCTTTTGTGACCAAGACCTTTCACTCAGCATAATGTCTGCAGGTTCACCCATGTTGTGTAATGTTTTATGAGCTCTTTGTTTTTCAGTGCTGCATAGTATTTCATCGTAGGAATATACCATAGTTTTTCTATCCATTTGTTTGTTCATGGGCACCTGGGTTGCTTCCATCTCTTTGTAAGTAATGCTGCAGTAAACATGGGTGTACATCTATCTGTTTGGATAGTGGTTATGGTTTCTTTAGGGTATATTTCCAGCAGTGGCATTGCTGAGTCAAATGGTATTTCTAGTTCCAACTTGTTGAGAAAGCACTAAATGGCTTCCATGGTGGTTGCACCATTTTACACTCCCACCAGCAGTGAATCAGGGTTCCCATCTCTCAGCAACCTCGCCAGCATTATTGTTTGCTGCTCTGTAGAATTTTGCTATTGTTGCTGGGGTGAGATGATATCTCATCGTTGTTTTGATTTGCATCTCTCTGAGAGCTAGAGATTTTGAACAGTTCTCCATGTGTTTACCATCTGAATGTCTTCTTTGGTGAAGTGTCTATTCATATCCTCTTCCTATTTTGCAATTGGGTTGTTTACCTTTATCTTGTTGAGGTGCTGGAGTAGTCTATAAAGTTTAGATATGAGTCCCTTATCGGATATGCCATTACCAAATATTTTTTCCCAGTCTGTGGCTTTCCTTTTTACCCTGTTGGAGACTTTTTTAATGTGTATAGGGATTTGATTCTTAGAGTCCCATTCATCTATTTTGTTCTCTCCTGGTTGTAGAACTGTTTCTTCCTTCTTATTAATAAGTTCAAAACAGGTTTGTGTGAGGAATGAAACAGAGTATTAAGTTTACTATCCATGCCTCAGAGCAATGTCTGCTCCTTGTTTTGGTGGTGATTTTTGCTTGTTTTGTTTTTTTTTCATACAGACCCACAGAACCCCAGGTTCCTTCAAGGACTCTAATTCACAGGCATTATTTTCAGTAGTTACCATATTTTGAATGTTAATTTTGAAGTGTTAATAACAGTTTAAATGAGAAAGATCTTTCCTTCTGGTTTTCAAGTTTAAAGGATGACAAAGCTTTGCCTCACATACTTTGGACATGTTCCTAGGAATGTTACAGTCACTGTATCAGTCCATCTTGTTGAGAATCTTCCTTTCTTTCACTGACCCTTCACTTTTCCAAACATGATGTCCTTTTCCAAGGACTGGTCTCTCCTGACAACATGCCTAAAATATGTGAGAAGTTTCACCATCCTTGCCTCCAACAAGCGCCTTGATTGCACTGTCTCCAAGACGTATTTGTTTATTCTATTGGCAGTCTATCGGATATTCAATACTCACCATGACTCAGAAGCATCAATTTTTCTAGAAGAATTGTCCAACTTTCAGGTGCATAGAAAGTAATTGCAAAACTCATGCATCAGATGCACCTTAGCGTCTAAACTGACATCATTGCTCCTTAACGCCTTGGAAAAATCCTTGGCAGTAGTTAACATGTCTTTTGATTTCTTGACTGCTGATGCAAAGGGTGTTTATTGTGGATCCAAGATGACATCATTGACAATTTCAATATTTTCTCCATTCATCATGATGTTGCCAATTGGCCTAGTGGTAAGGATTTTTTTTTCTTGATGTGGAGATATAGTGAAGACTTTGATCTTCTACAACTGGTGTTTCAAGCCTACTTTCTACTAGCAAGATTGTGCCGTCTGTGTAACACTGGTTGTTCATGAGTCTTCCTTCAAATATAATGCCACATTTTTCATCATCAAGTTCAGCTTCCCAAATTATTTGTTCAGCATATAGAATAAATAGGCAATAGCTCTGATGCATACCTTTAAAATTTTATATAATGCAGTGTTCCCTTGCTCTGTTTGAACGATAGATTCTTGGTCTAGGTATAGGTTTCACATGAGCACAAGTAAGTGTTCTGGGATTCCCATTCTTTTCAATGTTAGCCCTAATTTGTTGTGATTCACACAAATGTCTTTGCATAATCAATAAAACACAGGCATCCTTCTGGTATTCTCTGCTTTCTGCCAAGATCCATCAGACATAGCAATGATATCCCTCAGGCTACTACCTCTTCTAAATCCAGTTTGAATGGCTAGTAGTTTCCTGACAATATACTGTTCCAGTCATTAATAATGTTCAGCAAGATTTTGCTTGCATGTGCTATTAATATTACGGATATTGTTTTATAATTTCCACATTTTGTTGGATCAGCTTTTTTTTGGGGGGGGGGAATAAGAATGTGGGCCTCTTCCAGTCATTTGGTGTGGTAGCTGACTTTCAGATTTTTTTGGCACAGCCTGGTGAGCACCTCCAGGGCTGCAGCTGTTAGTTGGAAACTGTCAATTGGTATCCCATCAATTCCTGGGGCCTATTTTTTTTGCCAATGCCTTCAGTACAAATTGAACTTCTTCTTTCAGCATCATTGGTTCTTAATCATATGCTACCTCCCAAAATGATCCCATGGAAGCCAATTCTTTTTGGTACGGTGACTATACTGCTTGCATCTTCTTTGATGTTTTCTGGATCATAGCATCCTTCAGTATTGAAACTCAAAAACGTCTTTAAAGTGCTGAAGGGTGGGGATGTAAGCTTAAAGACTGAGGTGCACCTGACCCAAACCATGGTATTCTCACTTGCTTTATATGCTTATGAAAGTTAATAAGGAAAATTGAAGATGGTGCCTTTGAATTATAGTGCTGATGAGCAGTACTGAATATAGTAGGTCTGCCAAATGCATAAACAAATCCATCAGAGGACGTGCAGAGTGCACTCTGTAAATTGAAGATGGTAAGAGTCTGACATCTTTCAGTTATGTTATCAGGAGGGGCCGGTCCCAGGAGAAGGACAAGAAGCCTGGCAAAGTAAAGGGTCAATGCCAGAGAGGTAGACCTTCCAGAAGATGGATTGACACAGGAAGTGCAACTATATAGGCTTGTCCCAGGCAGAGATTGTGAGGACCCGCAGGTTCAGGCCAGGTTTCCATGCCCTACACCGGGCCACTGAGTCAGAGCCACCCCGACCTCGTGAGGACAGTAACCACCTCATGGACTCAGGGCTGTAACAACACGCAAGACTAAGGCAGAAATAAGCTACGAGAGGTGAGGTGAGTCCCTGCTAGTACCATGCAGCTTCAGGATCCAGAGAGCGGTGCAAAAGGAAAGCCTCAGCATTAGACCAAGATGGGCGTGAGTCGGGTGGAAGAGGAGGACCAAATAGCATACTAGATTCGATGGTGCTCCCCAGGCAGCAGGCAGGGACCTGTGAAAGTGACCTGACTCGGCAAGAGTCGTTGGGGATACAAGCAAATGAAGGATGCTGAGGGGTGACCAGCTTGGATTGTCCCAGTGGACTCTAAACTCAGTGAGAGCTGTCCTTCTAAGAAGAGAGGAACGGCAGAGAGAGGAACCCACAGAGAGAAAGCTGCCAGTAGCAGGCGAGAGAGGCAGAGACTGGGGCCATGCTTCTCAAAGTCCAGGAATCCTGAGGCCACCGTCCCCCCACCCCCAGAAGATGCAGGAGACAACGCAGAATTCTACTGTCCCCTAGGGCCTTGTGAGGGAGCAAGCGCCTATTGTTTGAAGCCATCAGGTTTGGGAGGGGTTAGGGGGATAGTGGTAGTGGTGGTGGTGGTGGTGGTGGTGGTGGTGGTGGTGTAGGAGTCCACAGGGAATTGCACTGCTAACCTTGCAGCCAGCCTCCATCGCTCCGCTTTGTTGTTGTTCCCCTCCTACTAGTGGAGTCCCTCCAGAAGAAAAGCCTGGCGGTCCGCTTCTGAAAGGGCATAGAACCCGGGTCGCTCGCTGCCAGTGAGCATCCACACCCCCCCCTCCCAGTTTTCCATTTTCTATCAGATAGAAATCAACACCAAGGGAACAGTACAGCTTGGCTGCGCCTGCAAGCACAGCAACACCATGCTTGTCCGATCCAGGTATACGCGCTTTGCTTTATTTCCCTGCTCCTGTCCCCAGGACAGAGGGGCGAGGGGCAGGGGCGAGAGGCAGGGGCGAACCCCTTGGGCGCGAGTGGACAGACCCCGTCAGGTGCCCCAGCCCCTGTCAGACGCCCTGTCCCGAAGGGGAGATGGCTTCCTGCAGGACCAGGTGAAGGAGGTGATTCTGCTCGGCACTGAGCAGCGGCCACAGCTCCCCCTGCAGCGACTTGACGGCCTCGGTGTCCTTCTCATGTGTGGCCATGACCAAGGACTGCAGTAGCAGAAAGAGCTCCTCGGGAAGCTGGCCGCTGCCCTCCTGCCCGTGACTGTCGAGCGCCTCCCAGGAGTACTTCTCCAGGGTCTGGGCGTGCTCTGGCAGCAGTTTGGCGGGTGGGGGCTGCAGCAACAGCAGCAGCAGCACACGGGTCACCTCGCAGCGGACCAGCACGTCGGAGAAGGCGCCCAGCGCGGCGGCGGGGGCCGCGGCGCTGCCCGGGAGCGGCGTGGGCAGCGCGCAAGCGGCATCGGGCCCCGGTACGGGCCCGGGGGGCTGCGGCGCGGCGGGGCCGGGAGGTGGCGGCGCTGGCTGCACCGGGTGAGTGCCGTGCTCGCGCGCCAGGCGCTGCATGCGCGTGAAGAGCGCCAGGGCTGCATTGTAGTCCCGCGCCAGCAGCTGGCAGGAGGCGGCCTCACCGAGCGCCTGCAGCGCGGCCAGGGGCAGCTGGGGCAGCTGCAGCTGGGCGGCGCGCTGGAAGTGGCAGGCGGCGGCAGCCGGCTGGCCCAGGTCGCGGAGGGCGGCGGCCAGCTCGAGACAGAGCGCGGCGGCGGCGGCCGGCTGGCCCAGCTCGAGGTGCAGACGCACAGCGGCTCCCAGGGCGGCGGCGGCGGCCTGCAGCGGCTCCCCGTAGGCCGCGGGGCAGACCAGGCGCTGGCGTGCGTCGCGCTCCTGCTGCAGGAAGAGGCGAGCGGCCTCGGTCAGAGCCAGCGCCTCGCCAGGCCCGTGGAAGAGCGCCTGCTGGCAGCGTGCCACGGCCAGCTGGCACCAGGCCGCGTAGGGCAAGCACTCCTGGGCGCGCAGCTCGCGGCCCAGCTGCCCGAAATGCTCGCCAGCCTCAGCCACGTTCGGCTTCCGCAGGAACCGCTTCTTCAGCTTGTTAGACACCTGCCGGTACCGGGCCAGGAAGTCGCCCGCCTCGGAGCCTGCGCCCGCGCCGCCCAAGGCTGCCCCGGCAGCTGCCATGCTCGCTCGCTCTCGGCTCTGGCCGGAAACCTGGGGGGCAGGGGGCGGCGGAGGGGAGGCAGGGGGTGCGCGCCTACCTCGACTTCGCCAATGACCGGGTGGGTGGTGGCCGCGACGTGCCTGGCGGCGGAGGCGGAGGCGCACCCGCCCTCCCTGTTGCCGACAAGCAAATGGAGCGCGCAGAGGCGGGGCTGGGCCTGGCACCGCCTGAGCGTGCGCGTGCATGAGCGAGCAGGCGGGCCGGGACCTGGGTGGCACCGGCGGCTGCTAGATTACGGGGGCCTGATTGACGGGGCCTGATTGACGCAAGTTGCCCGGGAAGCGTGAATCCTGGTGGTGGTGGTGGCGGTGGTGGTAGTGGTTGGCTTTGCTGCTCTTGCTATTGGGTGCATCCGAGTGGACTAG